GATTCATTGCTGAATTCTACAAGAAATTTAGAGAAGATCTAACACTACTACTTCTCAAACTCTTTAATGAAATTGAAATGGAAGCAGTACTTTCAGACTCATTCCTGGAAGCAGGTATTACCCTGATGCCAAAACCAGAGAAGCATCCAACCAAGAAAGAAAACTAGAGGCCAATTTTTTCCATAATGAATATAGATGTAAAAGTTCCTAATTTGATATTGGCAAACACAATACAACATATCATCAAGAAGATTATACAACATGATCAAGTGGAATTCATCCCAGGGATGCAGGGACTTTTCAACATATATAAATCCATAAGGGTGATATACCATATTAACAGAGCCAAGGACAAAAATCAGATGGTCATTTTAATAGATGGAGAAAAGGCTTTTGACAAAATCTAGTATCCATTCATGTTAAAGCTCTACAGAAAATTAGAATAGATGATCTTTATCTCAATCCGATAAAAACCATCTACAACAAACCAACAGCCGACATCATACTTAATGGACAATAACTGAAAACTATCCCTGTAAAATAGGAACAGGGTAGGATGTCCACTGTCTCCACTCTGATTAAACATAGTCCTGGAAACTTTAATTAGACAAAGAAAGAAGTAAAAGGAATAAAGATAGGAAAGAAAGAAGTTAAACTATCATTATTTGCAGATGACATGATACTCTACATAGAAGACCCAGAAAACTCCACCAAAAGGCTACCAGATTTAATAAGCAAATTCAGTAAAGTAGTTGGATAAAAACTCTGCACTTAAAAATCAATAGAACATCCTGTACACAAATAACAAACTCACTGAGAGAGAAATCAGGGAAATAATACCTTTCACAATAGCATCCAAAAAAAAAAAAAAAGAATTATCTAGGAATTGATCTAATGAAGGATGCAAAAGGCCTCTACATTGAAAACTACAGTACTCTGAAAAGTTGATTGAAAAGAATATTAGAAAACGGAGAGATACTCTGTGATCTTGGGTAGAAAGAACCAAAATAGTGAAAATGGCCACATGCCCAAAACTGTGATACAGATTCAGTACAATCCCAATCAAAATTCCAATAGCATATCTTACAGAGTTAGAGAAAAAAATCCTAAAATTCATCTGGAACCAGAAGAGACATAGAATAGGAAAGGTAATTCTGGGCAACAAAGATAAGACATGACTTGAAATTAAACTATAAAGCTACTGTGATAAAAATGGTGTACTGGCAAAAAAAAAAAATAGACCCAAAGATCAATGAAACAGATTAGAAAATGCAGAAGCAACTCTAGACACACTAAGCCACTTTATATTTGACAAAGGTGCCAAACACATTCACTGGGAGATACATAGCATCTTTTTGGCTGGGGATTTAGCTTAGTGGTGTAAGAGCCTGCCTGGCAAATGAGAGGTTGTGAGTTCAATCACCAGTATCAAAAAAAAAAATAAAAAAGCCTCTTTAATCAATGGTGCTGGAAAAACTGGCTCTTCTACACATGCTGAAGATTAAAACTGGATCCATATCTTTCACCTTGTACTAAGCTAAAACCAGGATGGATTAAAGAACTTAATACTAGCCGGGCGTGGTGGCTCACCCCTGTAATCTCAGCACTCAGGGGAGGCTGAGGCAGGAGGATCCTTGCAAGTTCAGGACCAGCCTGGGCTACAAAGTGAGCTCAAGGCCAGCCTGAACTGCACAGTGAGACCCTGTCTCAAAAAGACAAAAAAAATCTTAATATAAAAACAGAAACATTAAATCTGCTGGAAGATAGGGTAAATAAACTCTTGAAGACATTGGTACAGGCAAAGACTTCATGAACAAAACCCCAATTACACAGGAACTATCACAAAGAATCAACAACTGGTATCTCATCCTACTGAAAAGCTTTTGCACAGCAAGAGAAATCACCAACAGAGTGAAGAGACAACACACAATGTGGGAGAAAATGTTTGTCAGTTGTATGTCAGACAAAGGATTACTATCTAGAATATATAAAGAACTCAAAAATATAATTTCTCCTAGATTTAAAGATCCAGTCCAAAAGAGGACATCTGAAATGAAAACACACTTCTCAGATGGAAAATATAAACAGCAAATAAATATTTGAAAAAATGTTCGACATCATTGGTCATTTGAGAGATACAAATTAAAATAACACTGAAATTCTACCTCATCCTGGAAAGAAGAGCAATTATTAAGAGATCAACCAGCAACCAATGCTGGAGGGGCTGTGGGGAAACAGAAACCCTTCTCCATTGCTGGTGGGAATGCAGACTGGTGCAACCACTGTGGAAATAAGTGTGGAGATTCCTCAGAAAACTAAGACTAAAGGTCTATTGAACCCAGCTATTCCCTTTCTGGATATCTTCCCCAAAGAATTAAAAACATCTTACCACAGTGATCTATGTGTACTCACATTAATAACAGCACAGTTTGCAATAGCCACATCTTGGAAACAACCTAAATGCCCATCCATTAAGGAATGGATAGAAAAGATGTGGTATTTTTATACAATGGCATACTACTCAGCCACAAAGAAGGACATATTAGAGACTTTACTAGGTAAATAGATGCAACTTGAGACCATACTTATAAGTGAAATGAATCAGACACATGTTTGTAAACATTGTATTGTTTCACTAGTGTGAGATGGTGAAACAACATATATATATGTAAATGTATACGTATATCTGTGTATATCTGCATATAAAAATGATAGCTAAGATAGTTATACTACTGATTTCTCTAAGGTCATTGAAGAGAAAGATTTGTCCTGATATTGTTTGGACAATTGAATGCAGAGGTCTTGTTCCTTGGTGAATGATTTGTGGTTGACAATACACAATATACATACCATTGTTGTCCCCGGATTGACATGTTTTGAAATTACTTTTCTTTTTTTCTCTTTGAAATAAAATGGATTTAAAAATAAAACAAAACAATGAAAGTGATACAGGATTTCAAAACGAGATAATAGGAAATCAACAGTGGCTACCATAATATATCTTGTTATCTTTGAAATAGCTGCCCATACCATCAGATACAGTAAAACCAAACCAAACAAAACAATGAAAATGATATAGGACTTTAAAACAACATAACAGGAAATTAACAATGGTTACCACCTTCAGAAAGAAATCCCGCATAGTTGCTGTATGGCATGTTGTTATTCTCTAAATAGATGCTCAAAATACCAGCTTTAGGCCTGCAAAGTCAGTCAGACAATGCAGGCATTAAGTTATTTTTTATTTCAGTAACTATCATTTCAGCCTGTGTTTCTCTGAATCAGCTGATTGCTTACAAGAAAGGGGTGTGCTCAGCTCTTGCCCCACACCATGTGTTTTTTTTGACACAGCAGTGCCTTTCTATTCTAAGTTGGCTTCTTGAGCAGCTCATTGTGTTCCTGTTCTTGTCACCTTGGCTGGTGGCAGTTGTCAGTCCCCTTGGTCTTGGCTCAGGGAACCTGGAGCCATGCGCACTTCGAAGCCCCTCCCCATCCCTATCCCCAAACTCTAGGCAAACTCTTGGCAGAGGAGCAGAGTTGTCATCTGACCAACTGCTGCCTGATGAATGGTAAGACTGTAGACCTAAGCCATGGGTGGAAGACCCAGTGCAAGGCCAACCACAAGGTCAGGACATATAAGCAGGTCTGTGGCCCTGACAGTTGCTGGGTGCTCAAGAATCTGGCAAAAGCCAGTGAATTAGATGAAGATATTTTATGTCAATGGGTTTCACAGAGGGGATCTGCAGGCTGCCAGGAACCATAGACATGGTGGAAAGCAAACCAAACAACCTGAACAGAGCTATTGAAGTCAACATGACTGATGTGAGCAAGCAGGTGCTGTTGTGGGGCTGGACAAGGTGGAGAACTGGTTTCCAGTGACTGCATTGTGAGTGGAGTGACCACTCCCTGCCTGCTTATGTTCCAGGTGCAGGTCTGGGCTGGGAGGGAGGATGCGGAGTACATGCATGCTGGGAGTGTCCCATCCAGGACCAGTTGGCAGCATCACAGGCTTCCTAGACAAGGCTGAGGTCAGCAAGCAGGCTCAGTGTGTCAGGTGGCAGGGACTGCCCTGCTGCTGCATCCTGATTTCTCAGATCTTTGATACCGAGTCGAGGGTGGACACAGTCAGTGTTCACATGTTCAACCTGTGTGGCCAGCATGACAGCTGTGGGCGGGTCCTGCACTCCAGGGAAATGATTGACTGTCATCACTTTCGTGGTGGCCAGCAGCAGCTCCCACGTGGTCATCTGGGAGGGGAACTGCACCAGTGGCCTGTAGGAGATTGTCACAGAATCTGTTTCCTAGGCTGCTCCTGGGGATGTTACTCCGGATCATGAGCGCACCCATGGGAGACCGGGGAAGAGTGCGTTATCCCTGATAAATGTCCAGGAATCAGTACTGGCTGTGAGGACGTGTGCCACCCCAACTGCCCGTTGGCCCTGAGCTACATCATTTAGTGCATGGCTTGCCCAGGACCAACTGCTCTCAGAAGGAATCCCTTCTTAATTAAAGCCTTCCACATGATGTATTAAAAGGGAAATGTAATTGTACAAGTGGTTCATCCTTTGCCATAAGGCACGCTAACAAAGACTCCTCTTTCCTGTAGTGATTTTGTGAAAACTCTTTTTTCCCTTCAGCTTGGTTTAATGTCCTGAGTTTAGAAAAAGACATCCCGAGGTCTTTCTTACTTTCCATTAATAAGACAACAGCAGCAAACAAAAGTAACACAGTGGAACAAATATTGTTTTATGTAGCCACAAAAATCACAGTGCAATTAAATGTGTCTTAGTTACCTTTTGGTCGCTGAGATATGATAAAAGAGGAAAGTTTATTTTGGCTACAGTTTGTACAGGTTTTAGTGGATAGTTGACTGGCTCCAAGGCTGGGTGGCGTGGCAGAGGGTTCTGGCTGAGGAAGGAGAGCTCATAGCATGAGAGCCTGAAGCAGGGAGCAGGAAGCAGGAAGCAGGAAGCAGGAAGCAGGAAGCAGGAAGCAGGAAGCAGGCAGGGAAGGGAGGGAGGATGTGTACTCCAGGCACACCCTCAGTGGCTCATCTCTTCTCACCAGGCCTGACCTTCCAACATCACATCAAATTACACCCTCATCAGTGGACTGAGCCAGTGTCACACCCAGTGTTGCCACCTGCAAGAGGCTTTCAGCTCAACACAAGCCATCACAGTGAGCAAAAATGGGCTTCTTGTCCATAGCTTATAGTCGAGTTTTAGTACATTTATAATCAATTTCAGGCTGCTTGAATCTACCATGTTGGTATTTGTTTTCTATTCATTCCTTTTGTTACTTGGTAATTTTTTTCTTTTCCCTGCTTCCCATTTTCTCTTGGGTAAGTCTGTGACTCGGGGTTTGCCTTCCTGTTATGGATTAAAAACTGGTGGTTAAATTAATACCAGCTGATGTGAATCAGCATGGTGCTGAGCATAGATGTTCCACCTGAGGAAAGTTGCCAGCATAAATAGAGATGTGGAGAAGGAGAAGCTAGGTATTGTGGGTTTCTCTAAGTGTTGCTGTTTGAGCCGTTGGTTTTCCTGGAGGAGCTCATCATGACTAGCTTCCCCAGTGTGAGTTCAACCATTGTCATCCGAGGAGCTTGGGACCTTGTGGTGACAGTGGCTGTGGTTCACTTTGGGGTAGCTCTGGTCCTTACACCAAGCATCACTTCCTGGCTCTGGAGGGGAAGATGTGTGCTGTTTGATCTCTGGGAGGAACTTATTATGCTGGCTTTCTGGCATGCACTCGACTGTTCTTTTCCTCGGAGGAGCTTGGGGCTCTGTGTCGCTGAGGATGGCTGTGGTGCTTTTCAGAACAGCCCTGCTCTTGGTTGTGAGTGTGACTTCTCAGCTCCAGTGTAAAACCCTCAACCCACCAGCACGGCTCCTTCACCCCGCTGGCATAGACTTTCTGGCTTCCACCACTGACCTTTCGGCCTTCCCAGTACAGATCTGTAAAAGAGACTGGCGTGAGTCCTTCTCGTGGGCTCTAGGCCTCCAGATGGACTCGTGGGAGGCATTGTCATAAGTTTTCATCTGGACTCATGTAGGACATTGCTGTGGGATCCAGGCCCTTGGCTGAATATTCTGAGTCTTTAGTGTTGTGGACAGATTTCCTGTACTTTCTTGTGTTAACTCTGGATGACCATCATAAAATGATATTATAAATTCCGTGTCCTGATTCTAATTGTTCTCACAACCCCTGGCTACAAAACTACCTTTATCCATTTACTTAAAAAGACAGAGTTTTGCCACGTTGCTCCATCTGGCCCCGAACTCCTGGGCTTAAGGAATCCTTCTGCTTCAGCTTCCCGCATAGCAGGGACTGCGGGCTGGCATGGGCTGGTTTGCCTGGGTTGCCCACTTGTTTTTTTTTTTTTTAATCATTTGAGCCCTCGTAGGAATAACTGTTACTGGTGGCACTTTATCAGGTTGGGCTCTATTTTTTCAAGTGACATGGAAATATAAAGGTGATAGAAGAATTCATTCATCTCTTTAAATTTCCTAACAAGTACACTTACCATTGTGTGCTTTTGACACTATCATTGTTATTTTTTATTTTTATTTTTTAGTAAGTCTTCTATAGTTTACAATACACACATTTATTGTCACAATGTACATTGAAAGACTATTATAGCACTTTCTTTGCAGTGCAAGAGCCTTAGAATAATATCCTTTCCTCTCCCTCCTGGTCTTTCTGCATTGTCATGCATTGTACTTTTGTAGATGCTGTAAACTCTAAAACGCATTGCTGTTTTTGCTTTATAGTCAATTAGTTATCCTTCTTCTGTTTTTAAAAGAGATTCTGTGTTTTAGAGAAGTTTGTAGCAAAACTGAGCAAAAGATACAGAGATTTCCTGCATACCCTCCCTAGAGTTTCCCTTCACACTGCTCAGCACAGTGGGATACTGTAATTGATGAACCTACATTGACACGTTGTATGAGTCAGAGCCCATAGTGTATACCAGGGCGGGCTCTTGAAAGTTTGTATTCTGTGGGTTTGAGCAGATGTGAAGTATGCGGTCACTATGGTAGTGTCCTATGGGGCAGCTTCACTGTCTTCAAACTCCCATAAGCTCTGGTGTTCAGCTCTACCTCCTGATTGTCCTTGGCACCTAAAGGTCTCTCCCTAGCTCCATAGTTTTCTTGCCTTTGCAGAATGTCATATATTTGGAATTTCACAGTACGCAGCCTCTTTAGACTGGCTTCTTTCATTAGTACATTTGTAAGTTCCCCTTGAACTTTTGTCCCCCTAACTTCTCCACAGGGAACCTCATAAATTTATTATTTCCTGCTGAGGCCCAGTGGAGCGTTCTGATGGCGAGCGTCTGCTCAGGAAAATTGTTATTCTCTGTACTCCCTTGTCTGGCTCTTCAACCTGAGGCAGTCTCCTTTCTCTTATGGATCTTAAGAATATTTTTCAGTTTTTTTTTTTTTTTCACTTTTTACTTGACAGTGGCAACTTCCAAGTTTCTCACCTGCTGGACCAGATAACCAGAAGCACAGTTGTTCTTTAAGTAAAATTTCAAGATAAGATGAGTCTTTCATGTGTATTCAGTATTTACTATTTTTTGTGGTCTTGGTTTCTTTTCGATCCAGATACCTGTGTGACGTTATTTTTCTTCTGCCTGAAGGACTTCCTTTAACAATTTTTAGTTGATGATTTGGTGATGGAAAGTCTCCTTCTTATATGCTTGCAAAATACTTTATTTTCATTCATGAATTTTATTTTCTTTTATGGATTAAACTTATTGGCACATTTTAGGTATAGAGCATGATCACACTCATCATAGGGAATTTGTACCTGACATGGTACAAATTCTTTTTTCCCCAATTCTCTCCCTTTGACTGTTATTCCTCTATTTGTTTACAAAATCTTTACTTTCACTTTTCCCCCCTTTTCTCATCATTTGTTCTTTCCCCTTCCTTCCTTTACCCTTCCCTTCTCCCTAGTTCCCTTTCTCTTTTGAAGATTTTCTTCGTATTTCACAGTATCTGCTAACAATTTTGGTCCTTTTTTACACTTACAGTTTCTTACACCAGAGGAAAAAGCAGTCTTTGATCCTTTTGATGAAAATCTTGAGTTACAATGAACCTCATATATGAAAACAGTATGCAATGCAATATTCAAACGTAAAAGAAAACCTCTAATAACCCTAGTTTTTTGGGACTCTCCACGCTGATTTCCACAGCAGTGGCACAGGCTGTAGTCCCCTCAACAGAAGATCGGAGTCACCTTTTCCCCACAGCCTCTCCAGCATTTGTTATTGGTTGATTTATTGATCATAGCCATTCTTTCTGGGGTGAGATGGAATCTCAGTGTTGTTTTAATTTGCATCTCTCAAATGACCAATGGTGTTGAACGTTTTTGGATGTATTTATTTGCCACTTCATCTGAGAGGTGTCTTTTTATTTCAGATGCCCATTTTTGGACTGGGTCTTTATATGTGGTGTATGGTGGGGGGTCTGATGTTTTTGATTTTGTATTCTAGGTAATAGCCCTTTGTTTGACAAACATCTAGAAAATTTTTCTTCTAACACTGTGGGTTGCCTCTTCACTCTATTAGTGGTTTCTCTTTCAGTGAAGAAGCTTTTTTTTTTTTTATTTGATTTAAGGAGAAAAAAAAACAGAAAAAGGGTACAAGTTATACAGAATTTCAGAAAAAATAAACAGTAAGAAATCACTAGTTAGTTACATATTGTCATCTTAGAAATAGTTGTTGAAGTTACAAAATTAAAGCATATAAGAGGGGACTTTCAAACAGTGAGACTGCAAACAGTTTTGTTCAATGATCCAACAAAACTCAGTAATATGGTTATCTATCTCATATACTTAAATATATATGCAGTTATATCTTTTAGAGAACTTTCTTTTCCTTTCTTTTGTACAATGACAATTACACATTTTGGGTTTTATTACTCCCACAGTTCTTATTACTTTTTTTTTTTAAGAAAGTAAAACCAAATGTGACATACCAGGACAGCTTCAGTCAAATCAAAAGGATGGACATAATGCATAATGTAAAAGCAAAACACAAGGCGATCAACAATGGTTACCATAATACCTCTTGTTATCTTAAAAAGAATTGCCTATATCACATTATAATAAAATTGAACAAAACACTAAAGACCAATAAAACCAAAACATTGGAGACATTAGAGGACTTCAAAAGAAGATAATAGTCAACCAGAATGGGCGTCACAATGGATCTTATTGTCTTCATAATTGTTGCCTAGACTTTCAAACTTGGTACTATCTAGCATAACAGAATAGAGGAAAATTGGTCAAAACAAGATGGTGAGAGCAAGGCAGAGTTTCAAATTAAGTTAATAAGAAATCAAAGTGGGTTACTATAATATATCCTGCTACCCTTAATTAAAAGGATAAAAATGAAAAAGTAGATAATAAAAAGGAGATTGAGATAAAAAAGAGGGCATAACAACAAAACAGCACAGGTCAAAACATAGCCATTTAAGCAAAATAGTGTTTCACCACAAGATAATCTCGACATAATAGTAGTTACCATAGTGTCTCTTCCCTTAAAATCTTTGGGTATAACTTCGTATACTGTAGCATCAAACATATCAAGACAATGTAAAACCATTCAAGAGAATGACAGTATTACAGGGTATTTAGAATCAACTAACAGAAAATGAACAATGGTTTCTCTAAAAACTCCTTGTCTATAAAAGTTTTTGTTTATATTATCACATATAATAAAATCCAATAAGATACAACACGTTAAATCTGATAGAGGGAGAAGAACAAAAGCTTGATGGGACTTCAAAACAAGAGGATATTAAATCAGCACTACCTGTTATGATGTCTTGTTTTCTCCAAAATGTCTGTTCCTACCATCCAACCTTCTCTGCCTCATTTCTGTTGAGCTCTTTTTCTGTCATTAGTTGTCAGTTTGTCCTCTTCATTTCGCTTTCTGCTCCATTCATTGTGGCCGCTCTGCCACTGTTTCTGGAATCTTGGTATTTTTCATTTTTAGAATATCCTGCAGCATTCTCTGTAGAGTTGAATTGGTGGTTGCAAATTCCCCTAGTTCCTCTTTATCCTGGAAGCACCTTGTTTTTCCATCAATTTCTAGGGACAGTTGTGCAGGATATATCAACCTTGGCTGGAGGTTATTATCTTTCAAAGCTTGAATTATTTCCCCCCACACT